GCAAAGAAGCAAGTTTGTGTAAATGATCCAGACCCAAACTATCCTGCTTCATGTTATCAGAAGTTGGGGTAGTTTTCAGATTTCTATGTAGGCTTTAATGTAGGTTTGGGTGTAGTGGCCAGGTCAAATGCAGATGACAGAGAGTTTTAAACAATAAATTAGAGATAGACCATATATATATCGAGCTGATATTTTGACTTTTTAGCATATCGGCTATTGGTCTTAAATCTCCAGGATCGGGCGATATTTAGTTTTGCTGCCTAAAAAGTGCACATAAATCTTTATATTAACACTTTAATACAAAAAAAACTACACAAATCTTTTATTGATATGAATTACTTGCAGTAATTACTACATTAAATTTAAACTACATCATGTGGGGAAAATAATCAAAATCAGTACATATAACATATTGGCCCCAAAATATCGGCAGATTATTTGCTCTGTATTGTAAACGGTCGGTCATGGATAAATAGATATTGGTTGATCTCTACAATAATTAATAACCCTTAACGTAACTTAAAACATGTCCTTTCATTTTTGCTTATTTGCTGAACATGGCTGTTGTGTGGGTGGTATAGCTTACCATATGTACATGTGTAATGTGACATCACACCTTGTTTTTCTTGTGTGAATTAATAGACCAACACTATCTGAGCTGGCAGTGTTATTTCTCATAGGCCTGACTGAGCACGATAAAGTGGCAGAGTCATCGGCTGCAGGAAGAGATGTTGCTGCATGTTGGGTTAAGCAGGGGACAGAGGAGCTGCTGCACAGAGCTCTAACCATCCTCTCTGTGAAACTGCCGGCTTCCTGTGGTTTGGCTCATTGTGTTGCCTTGTGCAGGGTTTATCATGAGCGTGGCGGAGGAAGACTTTTGTTGTTTGGTCTCCGCTACACAGCTGTGAGATCAGGCTGTGTGCAATATTAGAGAAATGAAACAATTTTGAATGATGCTGCAATAATGGGTTGACCCACCGAAATTACCTTTTGAAATGGGGAACTGCAATCTTAGCTTTTAAAGGATAGCCTAAATCGAAAACAAAAATTTATGTCACACAGGGCGGAACAAAACCCTGATTGAAGTCTCTGTACTATTCCAAGAAAGATAGTGAAATGTGTTGTTAAAGGTAAAACAGTAAATTAATTTATTTTAATTAGATGAAATTGGATCTATTATATAAGCAGGTAAATGAATTATTGGCTTATTACTTATTATCTTTAAAAAAAAATGTTATATGTGTTTTTTATATTTGTTTTTTCATGTCTGATGCTGATACCAATGTTTTAAAATTCAGACAAATAGATGTCCTATAAGGTCAGCCCATGCAGGTTCTTATATTTTTTCCCCCAAATATACAATTTTATTTAATTTTTTGAAGTTTTGATTACAAACTTATTGATTACTACCACCCTGTTGTAATACAGGCTGGATAAGAGAGTTTTTTTTTGTGTCTTCTATGTGCGTGTGTTTGTGTTCAACTTAAACTTTATTATATTTTTGGCAGCTGGTTGACCCAAACAAAAAATGTTGGCCTGGTATAGGTCCACTTATATATTGATCCATCTCTAATAGCACTTAACGATTAATCTACCTTGCTGCATAATTAACCTTGGAGCTTTTACTTTTATGGTACAGCTAAATCACTACATGGTTCATCACTGTTGCCATATGGTAAGTTTATTACAATATAAAGTGTAGCCGTGCACATAGCCTGTTCTCTAACATCTGTGAAGGTTATGTTAGAAACACTGTAGAGTGTAATGCACCATCCCTGACAGACTCTCCCTACTGTCTCATTTTGTTCCACCTTGTGATGTCACAATGGGGTCAAAGTCAGAGGACATTTACATCACCTCGTCACACTTCAGCTCCTCTTTGGGACGTCCAGGTGATCTGTCTGTGTTTGTTTATGTGCGTGGACTTGACCCCTTCCCCCTCTCTCTGTCTCTCTCTGTGGGATGGTGGCTGGAGGATTAACGTGGATTTAAAGGCCACAGTAGGACTTAGTGCAGTGAGTGGGGCCAAGTTGGGAGGAACTGATGACACTTTGAGGATAATGCCTCGTTTGATATCGTCCCCCTGCAGTCCTGGAGGGTTAGACATGTCACACAACTTTAACCTGTAGTCCATTTGTCCACCACCATGTATGTGTTTTACTCTGACAATATAGTGCAGTTTAACCTGGTAAATGGCAAATATGAGTATTAAGTTGTTTTTTTTTAAAACTATGGTTACCAGCCGTCTCCCCCTCCACTGGACCCTGACAAAACTGCATGTTGATCTTGGCGACTATTGCACTAGAATATCTGTGCTCTCAGTTTTGGATCCTATTCACAGCCCCCTACAAATATAAGCATAAAGATAGATCAGAAATGTTCTCATGTATTTTTAACAAACAAAAATAAATAACATTTATGTAGTCTTTGAAATTGTATGATTGCCTTACGTGTCTATATCTACATATGCAGTCTTGGGATTGGCACAAGTGGTATCTGAAATGTTGAATTGTTGAATGTCAAAAAATGTGAACAACTTTGTTATTGTTTGAAGAGTTCAGCCATCCTCACAGAATATCGTTTACTTGGTATTACTACATTTTTGTCACAGTTATTTTTATCCAAGTTTGGCCTTAATACGATTTATATGTGCACTGTTAATTGAACCTTGCACCCCTCCATTACAGATGTAGGCAATATAGACATACGCATTGATCAACAATAGTCTTGTTTGATGTGTGCAGTGTGCTTTTATGAGTCTTGCTCTATTGTCTCAGTATAGTGTACCTTTATCAGGGTCAAGATTCACAGTTAGTCTATAGCAAAAATGTATTCATAGATTTTGGACACAGTAGCTCACAGATCACAATATATCATAATAACAAAGCGCAAAAATATAAATGGTAACAATAAATTCCAAATAAGTAGCAAAAGTAACAGTTGTCAAATAAGACATAATTATATAAATGTATATGTATGTGTGTGGGGGGGTTATGTGTATATAATATAATATAATATATTATAATATAAATACAATTCAGTTCTGACCGTCCCAAATCCAGCACCCTGAGACTCCACACAAGCCAGAAGGAAGGAGGCATAGGACAAGTGAGTGTGGGAATCACTGTCCAGGATGAAACATCCAAGCTCCATAAGTACATCAGGGACAAGGCCCCGACAGATGACGTGCTCAGAGAATGTCTTAGATAGTGCGGTTCAGAGGAAGAGGTGCTGGAGGGACCTTCATGGCAGGACTAGCCCCTACATGGGGTGTACCACCAAAACTGAAGTGAAGTGCCTGATATCAAGAAATCTTACCAATGGCTTGAGAGGGCTGGTGTGAAGGACAGCACAGAGGCACTCATCCTGGCTGCACAGCAGCAGGCCTTGTGCACCCGAGCAATTGAGGCCCAGATCTACCACACCACACCACACAAGACCCACGGTGTAGGCTGTGCAGAGAGGCTCCTGAGACAGTCCAGCACATAATTGCAGGTGTAATGCTGGCAGGGAAAGCATACATGGAACGACATAACGAAGTGGCGGGCATAGTGTACAGAAACATCTGCACAGAGTACAGGCTAGAGACCCCCAAGGTCAAGCTGGGAAACACCTCCAAAAGTTGTGGAGAACGACCGAACCAAAGTCCTGTGGGATTTCCAGATACAGACAAACAGAATGGTAATGGTGAACCAACCAGACATAGTGGTGGTGGATAAGCAACAGAACAAGGCCCTGGTGGTGGACAACGCAATATCAGGAAGAAGGAACAGGAGAAACTAGAGAAATACCAGGGGCACAGGGAAGAGATAGAGAAGGCCTGGACAGTGAAGGCATCAGTGGTGCCCGTGGTGATCGGAGCACTCGGGGCTGTAACCCCCAAACTGGAGGAGTAGTTACAACAGATCCCAGGAAAAAAAAAAAATTACACATCTAAGTCCAAAAAAGTGTAGTACTAGGAACAGCAAAGTTACTGTGCAGAACTCTCAAGCTCCCAGGCCTCTGGTAGAGAACCTGAGCTGGATAAGGGTGAGAGAGACCAATATTATTTATATACATACTGCCTTATGTGTGTAACAATGGCACTTCAGATACACAGCAATTTCGGTGCACCCATTATGTTCATGATGTAGCTGGCATTTTCACTGTCAGCAGAACATCTCTATTGTTATTGTATGCATTATATTATATGACATTATAGATACACACCTAACTGCTGTGTATCTGAAGTTCCATTGTTACAGACATAAGATAGTATTTGTATGCAGAAAGGAGGAGGAGAGAGTGACCTTTATTAATCTGATGGAGTGAAATCATCTATCCTCCCAAACATCTTGATCACACCAGAGCCACAGAGGGAGCTGCTGCTGTGAAGGTGTGCAATAAGAAAGAAAAAGCAATCATAGTGAATTATCTAAGGTGAGGTACTTTAAACAATCAAATTATGTGAGGAAATATTTTGTACCACCTATATTATATTATACAAGATTTCTACAATATCATACAGCAAATGTGACACCTGTTTATAAGCATTGTGATTTACAGTACTTAAGTCTGTAATTAGTCTGGTTTAATTATTGTTACAGATTTTTTTTTACTGTGACATTTCAACCACCTTGACCTCACACCCAAATGTCACTGAAAGCTGATGTGTGACAATGTACTACAGCAAAGTGACCTATTTGATCAATTACTTCACATATGTTTTCTGATTCAGATTAAGTACTAGTCTTTAAATCCAGATAGACTTGGAAAACTCAATTTATGGTCAATAAAATAGATATAAATTTAAAGTGTTTACCCTGCTTTTGGCACATGGGAGCTCATAGTGTGACACTGTTCAGTAAATATCCACAGTATGTTGTTTGTGTATTCTGGCCCACTGTGGCTGAGTGCCTGCTATCTGTGCTACACTGCTGATAGGTTTTCTGTGTCAATATTGTCTGAGTGCATGTAAAGCAGCCAGCTAAGGTGTTTTCTATGTCCTCTCTTTTCTGCAGAGGTGCGTTTTCGGAGGTGGTGATGGCTCGGGAGAAGGCCACGGGGAAAATGGTGGCTATCAAATGTATCCCCAAAAAAGCACTCAAGGGGAAGGAGACCAGCATCGAAAATGAGATTGCAGTGCTCAGAAAGTAAGTATCTGTCGCAACTGATATTTATACTGGTAGGGTTGATTTAATGTGGGTTGGAGAACATTTTTTATTTTGTTTTTCCCTACAGGCACAATACATGTAACTTTAACTTAACCTTTGTTTGAACAGCAGATGCTTTTTTTTTTTTTTCTACATTACATTAAATGATCATAATTGGTGGTTGTATTTTTATTCTTATTTCTTGTCTCTTAAAGTTGTGATGAAGTGAAGTGTTTTTGAAGTGTTTTTTTTTTTTTTTTTTTCAAATTTTATTGTTTAAATCAATATTTTTGTATTCTGGCATTATATTTTATTGCTGTTTTTATTTATTTAATGCAATCCATTTTCAGATTGGGGATGAGCTGACAGGTTTCTAGAAAATAAATATCCAAAGCTGCATTTTATACACAAAAGCCAGACAATTGGAAAAGCTTCAACCCCTATTTCACAGAAAAACGTAGCCTTACTAATAATTCTTTCATACAATGACAATTATGATGCAATAGAAATGTACTCATCCTTTTGACAAACTTTGAAACACATCATTGCATCATCCAGTGGAAACCACACTGACAGAAAAGTGTTTCTGTGGAGAGGCCAGGTACCCGTGAGTTTATTTAACAGTCGATTCCATCTAGCCTCAATTTCAGGTCTTCAGAGCGGACACTCACACACTCAGCCGTGATAGCAGGTGACAGGCCATCCTCCGCTGGGGCCCGCTGTGGGTTGGTCCCTGGAGCCGCTCACTTATCAGTCACTTCTGAACGACCAGTTGTTGGGTGTAGTTGCCTGGATACAGTTGCTATGGCGCGCATTCTGATTTTTGATGTTATTGTTCTCCATACCGCAGCAGGTGGTCTCCGCTTTCTAGGATCGGATCATGTCAAAAACTCAGAAGGATTGGAGCAGGCTGTATTACTAGATTTCATTTAATTCTTCTTATGGAGTTTATTCTTCTTATAGATTTCAGATATATAAAATAAATTGACAAATGTTCTTGATTGTTCTAATATCTTATCAAAAAAGCCATAAAATTTGTTGTTAGCAGCAGGTCCATTACCACTAATCTTTTCTTGGGTTTTCATGAGTGATAGAGTTATGCAAGAGTAAAAAAATAATAATAATAAAATACAAAAAAAAAAGAAACTTAATTTGGCCATACTTTTTTATAATTCCTTCATGTGAAATGTCATTATAAAAGTGTGTGTGTCATGGTTTATCCCTAATTTCATATTTTATTTAGTTATTCTCAATAGTGCTCTGAAGGGAACAAGAAACGTACAGTGTAATTTCTTTTCTTTTTGGGATGAATATTTTCACTTCAGTCTCACATAATCACATTCAACCATAGGTATGCATGTCCATAAATGGGGCTGTATGACATAACATTATTAGAGAGAGTATGTGGATCCAACTACTAACACAGTAAAGTAGACATAAGGTTTCTTCAAAAACAATATTAGAAGTAAAATCTATGGTAAATCTATGTTCTGTATAAGTATAATTAAAGGTCCTGTTTACGCAAAATTGACTCTTGTGAGCTTTAAGCCATGTTATAATGTTGAAGTTGTGTTCTGTTTCATTCACGTGTTTGAGTAATCCTGTAGTATTTGTCTGTATATCTCCAAAGTTCAAAATGCTCTGTTCCACCTTGTGATGTCATGAAGCTGCAGTTTTCAAGTTAACAGCTACCTTTTACTAGCCTGATTCATCAGCTGGTTTCACTTTGTGGAAACCATCTGACCTTGCAGCATTAGAATTTGTGTGCTCGTAGGAGGGTACTTTTTTAAATTTAACCAATCACTGCTATTTGGTCGTGAGTTAAGTAATGTGCTGCTAACGGGGCTAAGTGGTATATTCAGCTTTTTCCAAATCTCGTAGGAAGAAGGGCAATAACGTCTTTCCACTTTATAAAATTAACCAAACATTTTCTTTGTTCCGGCTTTAAATCCTCAATCTTGGAAATAGTTGCCAACACCGAATATATGGCTCTTCACTGATTGGCTGGAACCCGGACTCGCACTTCCAGGGTTTTTGTGAACCGTCTAGTGTATTCTGATTCCTGACCTAGTCCCTGGAGAGAAATGAAATTGAAAGAAGGCACTAGGTCTGGCTACCCTTTTACCTTTTGTTTAGCAGAGATTGAAGATGTGTAGATTTTAAAATCACACTGGAGCATTTCCTGTATTACCACATGACATCACAAGGTGGAACAGAGTCTTCTGTTTTTAACTTAGCTGAAAGGGTTTTTCTGTTAAACATATATGAAACAAAACACAACTCCCTGTATGTTTGTGTTGAGGAAAAAATATTATAACATGGATCAGAAAATCACCTAATATGGGCCCTTTATTAATTTATTAAAATACTAATACCACCCACTTCTTGTACTTCTAATCAGTGTTGTTTTGCAGTGAAAGCAGAAGTTCTGAAGGCTGTTTTATCCTTTGAGAATTGTTTTCCGCCCTCCTCTCAGCCACCTGCCCCTCTCCCTGCTCTCACACACAAAACCTTGTCACTCGGTTGCCAGGACACAGATTCTTGGCATTTACATGTTCCTTATATTAATTTCTTCAGGTGGTCTTGCCAAGAGGGGGGAGGGTGGGCTTGTTTCTTGGCGATGATGCTGATTCATTGATTTGCATCCTCTAAACGCCCCCACAGGCTCACACACAAAAGATTTTCACCTTTTTGTACAGAGAATGAACATCGTAGCTTACAAATAATTAGATGTGTGAAACGTTACAAATGTTCAGAAAACATTACACATTCTGCTGTCAGTACTGAAAGATCTCTTTATTAATTTGTTTTGTTTTTCTCTTGCAGAATAAAACATGAAAACATTGTGGCCCTGGAGGATATTTACGAAAGTTCAAACCACCTTTACCTCATAATGCAGCTGTAAGTATTTACTCTGCTACCACACAAATTTAGATATTTATATTTATTTCAATATTTTATGACTCTTGAGAGCTTTTGGCCATGTTATAAAGTTGTTACCTCCTCAAAAATATACCTGGAGTTGTGATTTGTTTCATTCACACATGCTTGAGTAACTTATTATTAGTCTGTGTACATTTCCAAAGCTCAAAATGCTCTGCTCCACATTTTGATGTCATGAAGTGGAAGTTTTCAAGTTAACAGCAACTTTTTTACCTTCAGTAGACATGGCCAATTCCAGGTCTGAAATCATCCAAATGATTCTAGTGAAGGTGTGTGGAGATTAAAAATACAGCGGAGCACTTCCTATATTACTACATCTCATCACAAGGTGGATCAGAGAGTTGTTTGTTTGAGAGAAGAACTCATCTTAAATATACAGGATTTGTGTGTTGCACATGTGTAAATGAAACAAAACACAACTTCAGGTATGTTTTTGATGAGGAAACAACATTATAACATAGATCAGAAAATGGTATAATATGGGCCCTTTAACTGTGTATGTATCAAAGTATTAAATAGCCAGGATGGTTTCAATGTAGAATTAAAGAGGTGTTGTCAGAAGAAGCAAATGGAACAAAGGACACAAGGCAACACTTTACAGACTTATTACAGATGCACATAGCCTTTATAGTAAATATTGATGGGAACATTGCATTGCTTTACCAAGGACACCTCCATCTTAGTCCTTGTTATGTGGCCTAGATCATCAGAGGTTATATAATACTACACCTAATACCTACAGTGGAAACATTGCCAGACTTGAATGGACAATACCACAGTGCAGAGGTGGGGACTTGCAAGTCATGATTTGAACTCGAGTCAGATTTGAGTCACTACTTTTAGGACTTGAGACTTGACTTGATAAAGTAGACTAAGACTTGGGACTCGACTTGGACTTGAGCCCTGTGACTTAAGAAGACTTGATGCCTCTCCTAAAAAAAAAAAAAAAAAATATAATATATATATATATATATATATATATATATATATATATATATATATATATATATTATATATTATATATTTATATATATATATATATATATATATATTTTTATTTTTTTTTTTTTTTTTTTTAGAAAATACTTTTCTCTTTTCAGTTGATACATGCAGTGCTTGATTTCACAAGAACACACTGGAATATGTCCCTCCTACTTCTCTGTTTGTAACTTTGGGTGTAACTGAAGTACTGTGATGTGTCCTCAAATGTCTTACAGTAATATAAAGTACAATACAGTAAAACAGAGGGAACTACATAGAACATGATTCTTCCATTTCAGACACATGACAAAATAACTGTTATTTAGCACTAAAAATCTGAATTCTTTCTATTCTGACCATAATGAGTCACACTAAGATTTTGTCAAGACATTTAAAAATTTCTACCACTCTTATATAAATACTTACATACATATATGTGGGTATTTATATATACATATAATATACCATGACTTTTAAAGTATAGTTTATTTTAAAATGTATATAAATACCAAAAATCTAAGCTCTATTTGGTACTTTGGTTTAAAGACTTGAAATGACTTGAAGCTCAAAGCAGACGACTTAGACTTGACTTGGACTTATAGGCCAGTGACTCGAGACTCAACTTGGATTTGCTTGTATTTGACTTGGGACTTGACTCGAACTTGAGGTCAAAGACTTGAGACTTACTTGAGACTTGCAAAACAACGACTTGGTCCTACCTTTGCCACAGTGTGTTGAGTGTTCAAATCCCCAGTGCCCTGCTTCTCTTTACACTTTCACATTCAATTCATTTCAAGTAGTTCCCCTTTCTAAAACACTGCAACAATTTGCAACCTACTCTTGCATTACGATTTTTGCCATAGTACACAGTTTTTGCATATTTCAGTGGGTAACTACTTAGTTTTTTATGAAAAAAAAAAAAAAAAAAACATTGCTTCAACAGCTGTATTTTAAAAGCCAAATGTTAAAATCTCTAAATGCATTTTGCAGTGCAATCCTGATGGTCGGTCTGCGTTATCTGTTCCTCTGCTAACATTTTCTGAGTTACATCGTCATGACTTTCTTTCTCTGGATGGTTATATTTTGGTTTTTGTGACTAATGCATCAGCAACTCAGGCAGCAGTGTTCTAGCCTCTTTGCACCCCTGTTTCATAATGTCATATGGAAATGTCACTTTGAAAACTGTGTACTGTTTATTCAGGTGACCTTTTCTCACCGTAAGTGATTTTAAACATTTAACAAGTTTATATTGGTGAGGCAAGACTTTTAATACAAAATATTGCACATAAATGTGTGATCAGAATTAGCTTTTAAGTTGACAGTTGATGTTTTGTTTACCCAGTGGTGTTTGTGTAGTTTTTTGTATTTTGATTTATGTATGTGTGTTATATATTCTTAAAATTTGAAAGAAAAAAATATGTTTTTAAGTTTGAAAATAACTTCTGTTCTTCTTCATTATAATACTAAACATATTTGGACCATTAGCAGGTCTCAGTCACTCTATCTATGAGCCTATTTCAAACAGACAGGGACCTAAACTTGATTTTAAACTAGCAAAATTGCACTAAAACAGATATTATTTTCTACAAACAATCTTGTGCTGTCTAAAGTGAAGTTTATTCTTGGTAACTGAAAGCTGCTGTGGGCTGTATAAAAACCACTGGTGCCTATGAAAGCTCTAACCTTTACATGATAGCCTTTGGTCCTGTTTCGTTTGTTGACAGGGTGTCAGGAGGCGAGCTCTTTGATCGCATTGTCGAAAAGGGCTTCTACACAGAGATGGATGCTAGTCGTCTCATCCGACAAGTGCTGGATGCAGTAAACTATCTTCACTCCATGGGGATAGTGCACCGAGACCTAAAGGTACCTCGGAACTTTGACCTCGCGGACTGGAATAATCTGTGAAGTTACTTAGATCTCAAACGCCACAGACCAAATACAGGTTTTATGTAATGTCCACAGAGACAAAGTGGTGGGCGTCCTGTGCTTGATTTACAAAAGGAAAATGTGACTAGTTTCAAATCCACAGACGCTGCTGCTGCTTGTTCTTCAATTCAGTGTATGTTTAGTGGCCATGTATTTTCCTTTTGTTGTTTCATAAAAAATAAAAAATAACTACACCAAATTAACCAATGTAACCAAATATATGAGTTGAATAAATAATACTATGAAATGCAATAAGTACAGTATGATGCATTATTGTTAATACTACAACCTTTCGTTTCATTTTTATATTTTCAGTTTTGAAATGATACAAAACGAAAACAATTCAAGAAAACACCCCTCTCTCCGCACTCATCTCACACAAAACTACACAAAAACCATACAAACATTAACAGTCATCAAGTTCAGGCTTGTCAAGATGCTAATATCATAACCGTGGTCCCATGGAGATAAATATGTTTAATGCAATACAAAGGAATATCTAAGCAAAGCAATAACACCTAATCAGCTGGCGCATCCTCTACCAGAAAAGTTACATAATGTACTTTTAAGTCTACTCCACTATAATCCATACTAAATCAATGGTGCTGTAACTAAGCACTAAGCAGCATCCAATTTAATTAGTTCTGAAGTTAATTATATTCCACTGAAATAGTCATAAATTCCTGAGTGTATTCTACATTGTATGCTAACCTTATCAGTCTGTTTTGCACATTGTAAAATGTAAATGCAATCTTTGAGAATAGACATTAAAACTTTTACCTATTTCCAACTCCTTTCTTCTTTATAGCCAGAGAACCTGCTCTACTTTAGCCCCCACGACGACTCAAAGATCATGATCAGTGACTTTGGTCTGTCCAAGATGGAGGGCACCGGAGATGTGATGGCAACTGCCTGTGGGACCCCTGGATATGTGGGTAAGTGTGACCTTTGAACCCTCGCTTACATTCAGTAATGACACACAGAGGTTTGGACAAACATCAGCCAATCTAATCTGCAGTTGCCACGGTTACACACAGCCATCTGCTCGCTGTCACGGCGGCATTGAAATTCTCATCCGGCCTAGAATGAAATGATATATTTTCACAGGACTGATTTATTATTATTTCTTTGCAAATTAAACTTGTTTCTGTCTCTCTCTTAGCCCCTGAGGTATTAGCACAGAAGCCCTACAGCAAGGCCGTGGACTGCTGGTCTATTGGAGTTATCGCATACATTCTGTAAGTTAGTAAGTATGTATGTTAGCTAAACACTGAATTACCAAATATTTCTCTTATAATTTAATAAATGTACCCTGATACTTTGCATCTGATGTCACCAATATTTCCTGCGGGTGTGAAGCTAATTAAAGGCACTACTCTGTCAGAAGTTTTTGTTACTCAAGTTAGACTTTAATCTGAGTTTATTTTAACAGAATCTGATCAGAAATTGCTTATTTGGTTAGAATGACAAAAGGTGAGATGATTTGTGCCGTTAAACAATTCACTCACAAATAAAGTCATAGTCTTATAGTCGTGTAAGTGACTTTGCATTTACACTTTACAACATGCAAAACAGACTGATCAGGTTAGCATACAATCAGGGATTTATGATTACATCAGTGGAATATAATTAACTTCAAAACTAATAGGTCCATGAAGTGAGTGTGGAGAGAAGGATGGGGTGAGGGGTGGTTTATGTTTTGTTTTTGTCTTTCTATTTAATTTTGTTTGAATTAAAATAAAGAAAAAAATTACAGACACAAGCTAGCTAGCATTAGGCAAACACCTAACACCTAAACACCTAAACAGGACCATGAGCGCTCGAATAGATCACAGGCTTCTGAAAATGTGTTGTTTAAATCCATTTTGTATTTTTTCTTGAGTTCTCAAATGATCTTAAAACTTTTTAAAGCCAGTAGAAATGCATTATAGAACAGCCCAAACAGGATGTCACTGCAAAATATCAATACAAGTAATAAAAACTAGACCTGCTCACACTTTTCTTGTAATAATAAAACCCACTGCTTCAGTTTTCCTTCTAAAAAAGATAGGAACTAGGTTTTCTTGACTTTTCTCACTAAGTTGTTATTTATATCATTTATTTTCCATGTCATTTTGTCAACAATCCCATATATTAATGTTTCAATGCACTTTATATACTCATAGTATCTTCACAAATGAATGGCGCTATTTTTAAATGGATGACAAGTAGTTGGGCTTTCCAATTAAAGGAAACACCTGACCGTCATGTTGCTTCACTGATCACATTTTACAGTTAACATGGTGGGTGCAGAGGAAAGTGTCAGATTCATCCACAGACTAATTAACTAAATTGGTGTGCCTTATTAGCAGGAAGAAAATCCCCAGTCTTGTTATCATTTCCTGAGCTGTGATGCATTTTTAGATAATGGCCTCACAACTTCTGATTTCTCAACCTCTTTCACAGTTGTTGCGTGATTGTATGTTTTTTTGCCCCTCTTAGTGCTCCTGTAGCGAGCATAATCTCTCAAGAGCTGTCTCTCATTGCATGCTATGTTAGAAATCAAACTGCCACTGAGTCAGATTAGGCCTGCTGCTTAAATCCTTTTTAGATTTCGACTGAAGTTTTCTCTGTAATCCTGTGTGTTGTTAGGTTATGTGGATACCCGCCCTTCTATGATGAGAATGACTCCAAGCTTTTCGAGCAGATCCTGAAGGCGGACTATGAGTTTGACGCACCATACTGGGACGATATATCAGACTCTGGTGAGAATGGCTATTGTCCAACAAAAATGTATGTTTTAGACTGACTTTGTGACACTATGCAGGGTGTGGTTATCAGAATGATGAGAAATTAGGAATGTTGCCATAGCTTTTACCACAGTAAAAGAAAATATTATATCTTTTGAATAGGAAAAAGTGTTGCATATAACAGGACTTTTTTTGACTTTTATAGTATAGTCACTTTCAAATAATCAATTAATAGGTTATTTAGGGCCTAGGCTACTTATTAAAGGACATGTGGACTAATTTTGTGTGTGTTCAATTGCTATACAAACTCGTTTAGGTGATAACACTTTTTTTTTTTTTTTTTTGTGCCAAGAAATCTGTGTTTTGTGAAACAAAACATGAGTAATATTACTGGGTCTTTTGGCTGTCTTGAAGGGGTGAGTATTTCTCACCTGGACGTGTTGTTGACCTTTTTGCGCTCCTCTGCAGCCAAAGACTTCATCAGCTCACTCATGGAGAAGGACCCAGAGAAGCGCTTCACATGTGACCAGGCACTGGAGCACCCCTGGTGAGACACAGCGTTCCTCACTGCGCCGCTACCAGACACTCGGCAGGAAGCTCACATCTCCTGCCTTTACAAGTGCTCTGACGTAAATCAGCAGCTCTTACACATTTGTCATGTAGAGCCTGTCCTCCCACTGTCATCTGTCACCATGGCACTAACCCACCTCTGCTCCCTTGCCCGCCCTCACACAGATTGGCTGAATAAATGGCTGCCAATTAGTGACCGGCGTCCTGAAGGACACTTGAATATTGTGGAAGCTTTAATGAACAATTAGCATGTCTTCCCAGCCCAGAATTAGCAAGGGAAGCAGACATGTGCCGCAGGAATCAGATGGGAGTATATTTGTTGCTCTAACCCTGGGTGGATGCAAGTATTTCTTATAATAAAAAGTAGTGAGAAGAGCTCACACTGCACGGCATGCTATGGTGCTATTAATTCCGTTGGGAGTCTAATTTTGCTGAACACCGGAGCCCACCACAGCCATTTTCCTTAATAAACAAATAGTTATCCCGCAAACATTTGAGCTTGCCTGTGCTGCTTCAAAGGCAGTGACCACAACAGCATAGCAGAGCTCCGGTTCTCGTGTGAGTGTCACACGAGAACTAAACCAGTCCGACTCTGGAGTCGCAGATGGACCGGGTGCAGTCTGAGTGAGGTGTAATGGGGCTTTGGGCCAGGGGCAGGTGGTCTTTTCCATACAAATATGTGTTTGTCACAATGGCAGCAGGTGTCATAACTGTGAGAAATGGCTTTCATTGACAACATTTCACACAGATATTATGATGAATGCGACAGAGAGTGATGCGCTGAGCGAGCTCCCATCAGACCTGGCTGCTGCAAAATGAAAATAAATGATACTTGCAAATGGGATCGAGAATCCCTGAGCCTCACAGGCACAAATGTTAAATAACTGTGTTTTGTTTGTCCACATTTAGTCACAAATAATGGGTTTAATTCACAGGATTGCTGGAGATACAGCTCTCTGCAAGAACATCCATGAATCTGTGAGCCGACAGATGAGGAAAAATTTTGCCAAAAGCAAATGGAGGGTGAGATGACTTCATCAACTTCAACACAAATACAGATAATGTTTGAATATTAACAGTGATTAATCTGAGTGTGTTTATATGTGATGGTCCACAGCAAGCCTTCAATGCCACAGCCGTAATTCGGCACATGAGGCGTCTGCAGCTGGGCACTAGTTTTGGCAGCAGTATCTCCAGTTCTAACTCAGTATCAGCACCTCAAAGCCGTGGCCCGGCCAAGAGTCAGTCTGTGGACTGTGCCCCTCTCTCCCTCAAGGACTGTAAGTGACTCTTCAGCGCTTTGCGCTCCTCTGTGTGCCCCTTATCACACTACACTTTATGTTTGCTTAACCACTCATAAACTCTTGAGATTATATTTTAATTAAATCAGTGAGGGCAGTGGACAGTATTAATGCAAGTTGATTTAACTTTCACATCAGAAGTTTAAACATTTACTTTCTGAAGTTCACATTTCAGATTCTAGTAGGTGAATGTGGGCAGGTGTATCCAGAGAAGAAAAGAAATATGACTCAGTATTTTATCTTGTTTTTGCTTTTTGTTCCAACCACGCTACAGACAACATAACAGCAACTGACACCTTGCCTACCCCTTCTCATTTAAACACTACTGGCCTGTTCGAACACTTTAATCATGTAATCTGAAACCCAGCAATTACTCTCACCTTACCCGTTCCGCCTCTCTCCTCCCACAGGTGCTCCTATTGCCCCCCTGCCCTCTGCTGTCAAAGCCTACACTCAGGACTCAGGCCCCCCCTCCCCGGTGCGAGAGGAGCCCCCTGTGGTGCCAGAGGTGCCCCGGCCGCGCCCCTCCACGGTCACAGTCATCCACACTGGGACTAAATGACGCCAGGTTCCGCGGGAGGTCAGCTGGGAGACTACGGAGCTCTGAGACGGGACAACTTCACCTGGTCTCAAAAATCCAAATCGTCTGTTCACCCAGTTTGCCCATCCCGCCGCCTCCTGTCTGTTTTAAAGGAGGAATTCATTAAAAAAGGGGCTTCATTCACCACGGTACAGAGGGCGCTTGCCTTGTGGCCGTCATTGAGAGCTAGAAGTGCAGTGTTGAAAGGAAGGCTCCTTGTTTTCGTTGTGGGTGTTTAACCTACATCACTGCTGAAGGTGTCTGGGCTGGGACATCCCACACAAACGGTTACTCAAAGCTGCTGTTGTTTTTGACTGTGAGGAGCATCTCAATATGAGGTTCTCCCTTTGTATTGCCTTGTGTAAATATATTCTGCCTGGACTTCTTGTGGAGTGGAGTAATGTTATGCAAGTGAATCATAAGCTTGAAGCGCTGGTAAATAATCGTGACTGCATCTGCACTCCTCTGACAGCTCTTGTAAAGATGTTGTGATATTTGATTTTGCTACACAGGGTCATAGCTCCCACCAGTAAAGACAGTTGTGTTGTTTATTTGCTTAATGGTGCGTGGACTGACCTGTGTGCTTCAATAGACGATCAGATCTTCTTGTTTCTGAGGCCTCACAGACATCTTTCAGTTTGTTGTTCCAGGGACGTTCGGTCAAAGGACTGGCCACCTTTTATGAAATCTGAAATTGTGTGTTTTAATAGCCTTATATGTGGTACTTGTTGCCATGCCATTCGATTCAAAAGAGCTCCACGTGCTCATTTCAAACAACTTAAAAAAATAAAGTACAGGACTTAACGTTAACAAATTGGCTTTGAATTGTAAAAGCAAACATGTACCACAAATTCCCACTTTAGAATTTGGGCTACCACAGTTTTAGAACCACTGTCTTACATTATATTGACCCCTCATAATTTGGTCCGAAATTACTACACCACTCACTGTTTGCTTTGGAGCCTTAATCTGTGTAATCAATGAAACATTAAAAAGACACAAAATGGCATCATCTTCAAGTGGCTGGTCCTTTTTGGAACAACTAGAATGATGTTTTCAACCCTCAGCGACCTGGGGTACTGTGTTTGCTCATGCTACAATCATGGTGCGATTTACTGAAGGGACAATTGTAACGAATTATTTATTTTCTTACAACGTATCAATGACTTTTGTAAGAAATTGTAAATGTGTATCAAAACATTACACTGAATGATATAAATATGTGACAATTTCAGCTTTAGTTGTTTTGGATATTGATTTTGACTGTGAAATTCTCCTCCACCACAAGGGGGCAACAATGTGTTGTGGCTTTATGACCATTTCTCAGGGAATGTGCTTTAACATGAAGTGAACCAAACCTTTACAGTGATCATGCCGCGCTGGTGTTTGAGATGGGTCTAAAACAGAAACGAAAGTATCTAAACGCAGCATATTGTTCTGTACTGTGCCATTGGGTGACCATTTTATTTGAGTGAATCATACGTGGATGGTTTCCCTTTAAAGAAAATCAGAATACAGGTGCATCTCAAAAAATAGTTGGAGATTTTGAAAAAAACAACAACCAACCAACCAAACAAACAAACAGATTTGCACATTCAAGCCATTTAATTTACGTAGATATGTGAGCATTTCATTTATTTCACAGAAAAAATATTATGAAGAAGAAAATTATCTATACCTCTGCTAAGGCATTAATGGTATCTTGCAATGTTCAAAATATGAGCATGAACACAAATACCTAGTACAGGGATGTCTATGGAGGCACAGAACCTGAATATCGCTGTGGGACTTACGTTTTTTGACATGCACCTGTATAATTTTTTATTGAAAATATTTAACTGATGTCTGTACTCAAAAGTGACAAATAATGAATGCAAATTTACTCCAATGTATCTTGATAAAGATTGTTCCTATTTAAGCCGAATATTTAAAACTCAGTGGTGTGCAGTTCAGTGCTTGAAATATCGTGGCTCGTGTCAAAACAGCTCACTCAGTCTCTCTATGTAATCACTGTGCTTTCATACAAACCTGTTGAATTTTACAGACTTTGCACTGCCAGGAGAATTCTGTCTTGTATTTTCTCTGTGGCTATAGCTGTTTTTGATTCGTAATATCCAGTCAATGTGATGTCAGAACATTCTGGATGGAAGGTAGGACAGATGTAGTTAATTAGTTACTCTGAAAATATTTTAGTCTAGTTCATGGTTAATACTATTGGTGGAATTATAGGGCTCATCAAAGTGAAACAAAAACTTGCACAATATTACAAATTTTCTCTGCCAACACTAAGGTGAAAGGATTTTTTAAGTAAAAGTAAGATAATGCGTAATACAGTCACACAGGGAAGACTGCTGTTAGTATAGGGCATGTGCCCATACTATAGAGTTTATTAAGTGTATTGTTTAAATATAAAATTTCAAGGTTTTTCATAATACTGTACGATGGAAAACTGACTCCTTCCTTCCACCTTGGATATGGCATCACCAGATTCTAGACGGTGAAAACAACCCCTTCATCAGAACCTCTTGAGGGCTTTCTGAACATTTCCAAAAATATATTCTAATCTTGTGACAAGCCTTTACTGTAAATACAAATCTCAACAACAGTCTGTTTGGGTCTTGAGTGTTTATTCTGTCTTCCCACTAATTTTCCCTTAAAGCAAGAAAAGAAATCTAAAATCTGTTAGTATGCATGTTTTAAAATGTTCTTTGTAGATGCATGTATTAAAAACAGGCTTGTTTGCAAGTGTCCTTGCTTTCTTCACTTAAAAAGAAATATTAGCTAGCATAAGGGTTATTAAGGTTCATATGATTATGGTACATTGTTAGTAAAAAGTGAATATAGTAAAACAGGTCAACAAATAATATGTAATAACTGGCATGACAGGGGTTAAAACATTCATTCATAATCAGTAAACCACAAGTTAGTTCTGTACTAGTAAATATATCTGACTTATTTTTCAGTACTTTTAAAAGAAAGTAAAATATGTTGAAATACAGTTACATTCTCACTTCCTACAATAGCCACTATGGTTTCCACTTCCCTATTGCTTGTCCCGTGTGTTTGTATCTCAGATGGACTGGCGGTTGTACTCTTGAGGAGGGTATCTGCCATCATAATGAAATTCCCTCCACTGCTCCGTGCTCTCCCTGGTGCGCTCGTCTTGTTCTGGGACAAACAAAATCCAATAAAATCAGGATTATGAAATATTTTTAAGTAGATGTTTATGTATATTCTTCCACATACCATCACTTTGCTCCTCAGCGTGGTTCTCGTACTCATTTCTTTTCTCCTCATGAAACTCCCTCCTCCTCTCATCTGCAGCTAAGACCTGCCTCTGTTCAGCTAAGCACAGGAAATTATTTTAGTTTTACATTACATAACCACTATACAAGCAATATTCTATATTGATATACCATACTTTTGTGATTCCTAAGGTTATCTAAGGTGAATTCCAAGACATTTGAAACAGTTGTGTGAACTATCAGTCTAACAACCAGAAGAGGAATGCATGTGAATTGGATGCAACATAAAAACCCAAACCTCAAACATGACGCGTTGACTATAAAAAGCTTGAGGAATAAGTTTTCATAGTTTTGTAAGTAGTAGTAGTTCACACAGCATTGAAGTAGCTGTGGTATGGTGACCTTTGGAGACAGGTCATGGCATTTGACTTCTACCTTAATTATCTGCACGGGTTGATACATGCTGAAAAAGTAATTTGCATTTACAAGAGATTTTTGAGAATGGTTTTAATAATTTTTCAATTCATGTGATTGAGAATTAGGTTGAAATTACAACTCCTACCACAAGTTCAGAGTACAAATACCAAATACGTACTTATATGCTTTTTAGAAAATACTGCCTTGTGAGTCTATGGATCAGGGGTTTGATGGATTGCTTCCCACTTGACCACATGGATACTATTGTTGTGCCCCTGAGCAAGACAAGTTACCTCCTACATGAACAGTCCATGGCTGGTTGCAACAAGAAGGGTGTTTGGCTTACAAAATCGAGTCACAGTGAGTGTTTCCACCTCACGCTCTGTTCAGCTGAACTACAGTGCAGTATTGTGTCACTTAAGAGAAACAGAATATTTTCACTTTCTGTTGGCAAAGCTAGAAAGTCAAACAGTGAACTGGATGTGAACTTTGCAGGCCTCATACAGGGTTCTATATCCTCTGCCTTGCTCCCTCACTACCCCCCCATCTCTCTTTCTCTCTCTTTTTCTCTCACTGTGTGAATGGGAGCTCCATGCTGGCCTGTGGTTCCTGCTGCAGACTCCAGGTGCATTTCAGGGCAAACTAGCAGCTGTCTGCCACCAATGTAAAGTACAAGTGCCATAATTTTACCACGTCCGCTTTCCACTTTAACTTTGGTGCTGAACAACATTCAACCAGAGCAAATGCACCAGGGGGTCAAATTTTTCATACTCTTCTTATATTTTATTCATATTTTTTTTACAGAATGTCTAAATCTATTTAAGTAAAAAAGAGACTGCATCATAATATCAACATGCTTTTGAGCAGTGAAACAACATTTGAATTTGGCTGCAATAAACGGGTTTTGCAAAATTCAATGATTGAAACTTATGGAGAGTAACTGATTTGTAGTTAGTTAATTACCCAGTACTAGATAAGCAGTTCTTCATCTTTGCTGTAATTACATGCTGTAATTTGCATCTAAATTAGACAAGTTAATCTATGTATGCTGTGTATGACGCAACCGCTCCCTTTAGCCTGGCACAAATCACACATGTACCAATAGGGCAGTGCCACTAAGCATTTTATTTGGTCAATGCAAACACTCACTTTGATATACAACTGTGAAAATGCTAAACCAATATTGTAACATCTCTGCACCAACTTCTATATCATATGGAAAACCACAGAGCCCACATTGACCTCAGACACACGCAGGTCTTGATTTGGCCAGACTTCAGGACAAACACACGCAGAGTAAACTCACCATTAAGCTCATCCTGGGACTTGGACGCTCTCCTGCTGCGGCGTCTGAAGAAGTTTGAAGCATCAGCCTCCTTCAAGAAGATCTTTTTGAGAGGGCCTGGAAGAAAAAAAGGTTTATGCTAGGACAGTGTAACTTGGTGCGGGCAGTGGTGATAGAAGGGCAAATTAGAGCTAAGAAAATGTTATGTAATGACTAATAAACTCCTGTTATTATTATTCACTGCTCAGTGCTTTTACCTTTTGCATCTTGTGCGTCCTTCTCAGTGGGCACAGCTGCAGAATCAGCCTCTGGGGACACTAGGTCAAAACACACAACATACTAAATCAAAAAAAAAAATGAAAGAAGAGTCAAATGAAAGTCAAATAAATCCCAATAGAAAACTCACAGGACAGAGCACAGATGAGAGTAAGCAGAGCCAGCAGAGATGCATAGGTCCAAGACATGTTTAGGTTTAGACAGTCAGAGGGGAGAATGAGGTAGAGGAGGGCGTGAAGGCAGGACAAGATTCTAAGGGTCATCAAGAAGAGGGAGGGGACCAGTGTACAGGTCTGGACGAAAAAGTGAGGAAAGAATTAGGACAGGAAATTAACTGAATATTTTAACTGCATTGCACAACTGCCACACTGTTTTAATATATCTCAAGTTGTGTATGTGTTATTTCAAAATTGGAGGTTAAGTTTTTCTGGAAAATACAGTAGATTTTAAGTGCAGTCATTTGTATAAGAAGAAGATTGGAATATTTTTTAATCAATGTATCGAGTAGGGCTGTCATTGTTGCTGTTGGAACCTAAATTATCCAATTTACTTGTACCCCACTTATTCATGGGGTGTACTTTATTTTTAACTATTTCTACATCTTTTTGTTATTACAGCTAGTGATATTACTGTCAAGCTGAGGACAGATTAGCACAGTTGCCACAGCAATTAACAATTTAAAACAAAATATTATATCTATTGCATGTTCAAAAGTCCTCAAAAATATATAAACAAAAAACTGAAAATAAACTGTATGTTGCAACAGTGGAATTTCCCCATTTTGGGACAAATACACTGTAAATGATACAAATGATCTTATCTTTAATAGCCTAAATGTGTTTTGCACCTGCTCTGCCCACATAAACAACCAAGCAATGTTCACCATGCCAATTTTCTTCCAATAGGCTACAGTGTTTTGGGTTGGACCTCTGGACAAATGTTCTTTCTCCACTTTGCACAAATATACCTGGAAAGTATGCTGCTCTCTTTGCTTCACTTTTTTTTTTTGGCTTCTGGATCCTGGCTTGGGTCCAGAAAAGAGACAAGGTTTAGATTGTGGTGTACCATTGATGTGGTGGATTGTTATTGAAGCAAATTGGGGGATTATAGGTTTGAGAATGGAGTTTGTAATCTGTTGACTAAAAAAAGCAGAAAATCATTAGGCCTATCACTTCCATCAGGAAATGTGTTGCTTCAATTACGTTTAAGCGTGGTCAGTGGTGCTCTTTGTTGTAACACCAAAGTAGCATTCTCCTCTCTATTTTTGACTGAAACAACCTTTTAAAAATAAGAAAAAATGTGTGAAATGTACATTAAGTGTGCTGGATACATGTATACTTACTTATTGTGTTCATTGATCTGCTCTAAATAAATAAGTAAATACATGCATACATGCATACATGCATAATTCAAGGTGCACTATGTAAGTTTTTGGTTGGGGATCTCTCACCTGCTTGTTTCATTGCTCTACCTAAAATATTCCACAGTATGACATTAAACAGCTCTACCTCACATGAATTAAATTACAGATGGCTTCATATCTAAAAAATACCTAGAAAAACAGGCATGACAGTGAGTGGGGTTGCCTCTACACAGATCTGACCTGTAACGTGATCTTTAAGTGTCCATGAAGATAGAAAGATTTAATGCCATACTGTAGAACAATCTAGACAAAGCAACTCAACTGCAATCCATCTGATTTATCCAAAGCCAGTGATTTGTCCCAGTTTTATACAAGAAATGTCCCTATTTTTGATCAGTTTGATGCTTGCCAAATTGTCATTTTAGGTAAAATACAGAAAAGCTGCTTAGAAATGACCAAAACACAAAATGTGACTATACTGTCTCACATTAGTGACGAGTGCATATAAATGTTCCTTAATTACGCACTCCTTTCACAATTTTAATATTACCAACCAACACAAACCAGGGAAGTCCCAGTTTTTATATTTTGAAAATCTGGTCACCTTAAGCTATCATCAAATCTGTCGTGAAATGAACAGTAATTTTCAGTCAAAGATTTGTAGACTTGAAAGTTTTGGCACAGAGATTATAGTAGAACTGCGAACTGCGCAATCAACAAAAGCATACCTGTTTTTTTCTCCAGCATCAACATAATCAAGCACTGGATAGAGCGCTACCGCAGTTTCTCCATCAGATGGCGCTCCAAAGCCACGGTTCTCACGTTCCTGTAGTTGCGGCGCGCTGCCTGTAGTTGGCGCAGTTTCCCGGAGCGGTATTTGATGACACGGCGGTGTGTGGCGGAGGACGCTCAGATCAGCCTGTAATCCGCTCCGTCTCTCACTCTACAATGGTCTGTGCTCGAAAAAACCTCTCTGGCGCTTTATTTGCCTCCCGGAGATTGAAACTTTAACGACAAACGACACGAAGAGCCATGTTTTCAGACGCCACAGCCCTCGGGATTTAAGCGGTTCTGTCGGCGGAAAGTAGCCTCCACCGCGAAGCTGAGAGAAGACAGGCAGCAGCCGTAGCTTTCACACCCGGAGGAAAACACGGCGTCCGGCCTGAGAACAAGCTCCGAGGTCGGGGAATCCGGTCGGACCCACCGTTTCTGGTAAGTTTTAGTCAAGACTTGAAATTCACTCCCGCTTTTACTAAATTTAACCCGCTGGATCCAAAGAAACACGTTCATCCAAGGCGAGCACAAAACACGGGTTAACAATGCGGCAATGTTTACTTCACAAGCTGCGATTGTATTGAGCTATTCAGCCTGTCCTATTCACCGGTGAATTACTGCATATACTCCAACAAACCCTAACTGTGAGTTTAGTTACCCCCGGGGCAAAGTAAGTTCAGCCGTGTTTCCTAAATGTTGGGCCAGGACAGAACTGAAGTAGAGTTAGTTCATTATCGTGTCGCTACTACTTCGTATTCACGTCTCGTGCAAAACTGAATCTTTATTAAAATCATTTACGACTATCTATATCTAAAGTCTTGTCAAAGTTGTTGCTTTCATTTTTGGAACTGACTTTTCCTCAGGTTATTACGGTGGTAGTCACGTTTCACCGCTGTATAAACTCGTGTACTCGTAAAATATGGTTGTAAAGAGGAAGACTCCTGTGCGTCTTGCATACGTCTTGCATTCTTTTTGCACCCATAACATCCACAACAACTGCTCTGCTAACCTGTCCTGACCCACATTTTAAACGTAGCCTGTCTTTCTTCTTGTTGACAACCACGTAAAAATGCTCTCATTAAACTCTCGGATGGAATTTACACGCTTAAGTTTCTTCAGCTTTTAAAACAATTGCTCCTCGTGTGGGGATTCCTGTACATTCCTGTACATTCTTCCTGCTGGGATGTAACTGGTGGTAAGTGATCAGGATGCTCCACAGCAGACAATGATGTTTTGGATAGAAAGGAACGCCTTGATGTTACCAGTAAATGCAAGGAAGAGGGAGCTTTAACTTCTTACTGGTAAACTTCAGAGGAAGTTCATATCGGTGTGAACCCATTGTTGTTATTGTCATTGCTGAATAAGATGTTTTGGGGTTTTGTTTTTCACATCCAGTAAGCTTCGGTTTGGTATTCTTCCTGTTATAGTCATATTTACTAGTAGCCTGTTATTATACATTTTATAAGTGTAAAACATGAAAGCGAGTAAATCTTGGACAGCATTGGACTGTTGTTGATAGGAAAATGACTACATATTTTGCCTGCAACTATGGTCTGTAACCTTACAGACTGTAATTGTGCAAAATGAAAATGATAAATAAGTAAAATATTTAATTAAAACTCAAACAGTCAAACAACAAAATCAGATAACTGATATTAGGCCAACTAATATACAGATAATTGAATCAATTTCATCACCCTGTCATATCAGCCTTTAGCAATCACAAATGGATGACATTATTTACTCACTAGCTATTGAAATGTGTATCCTATCAATAAACAAGATGTATATTTTGTAATGCACGGTGTACTAAAATAGCCCTCATCTTTGATCCGGGTTCTAGCAGGAGTCCAGGGGGCTGCGGGGGGCAGTATGCTCGCGTGTGTTGCTTTGACGTGGGCTGGTTCCCTTGGTGAGGGCCTTGGGGATGATGGTGGAGGAAACCTGAGCTGTGGTGGAGCAGCTGTAGCCATGCGGCGCTGATCCCTGCAGGCCCAGAGCAGATCAGATGAGGGGCGAGTGTGTGACTGTCCACTGTCCCACTGCCTGGGGGGCACTGCCGGGGCAGGCATACAGGCGTAATTAGAAGATGCCCTCTTATACTGAATTACTGGAGTTAGTGTAACTGAAACACAGCCTTCAGTATAAATCACCATATAAATCACCATTGTTTTACTTTATTCTGGTAATTTAACAAAATGTTTAAACCACTACTAATTCAGACTAATCCGGCATACATCAGAACCAATGTCCAAAAATACCTGCAGAAGTCACCTGTGTACCTGCATGCAGTTTGAGAGCCACTGGCCTGTAGTGTGTTTGTACATTCACAACAGAACACTCATTGTTTGTGTCTCTGTTGCCTTTGTGGCTTTTTCTCCAAACATTTGTATAAGTTTACCATATACTAACTGAAACTTGACACAGATGGATTTTGTAGCCCATTTGTTTTTGACAAATTAAAATGATAAAAATCCCACCAACGTCTCTTAATAACACACCGAGGACAATTACTTGTTTTTCTAAATTAAAAGTTTTTTAGCAGCTCTAAAGGTTCAGTGTCACCGTTCGGAAACTGATGTTATCTTTTGGTGAGGGGGAATAGTGTGATAACATCAGAGCGTTACATTCTGAATTGTTTATGTCCAGTATTTTCTGCAGTTAAGTTAGTGTAAATGTAAGTAGACTTTGTGTGTGTACTTGTGTTTTAGTGCGAGGCCAAGGCAGCTGTCTGAAGGTTAATGTGTCACCGCTCTCCAGGGAGCAGCTGCTATGTGACGGCCCTGCTCCTGTCTATACATAGCCCCATACAAACTATTCCTCCTTCTCCTCCAATGCATTTGCCCTATGGGACAAATGCGACGGCCTTAGCGTGTTTGGCTAACTCCCCTCCCTCATTCTCTGTGCTATCAGATCTGTAGAGCCCCCACCCTGCCCCATACTGCCCTACCCATACAGCTGGTTTGATTGAGTTATACAGTAACAAAGCATATCAGTTCAGTCATCTGCTGCACTCATGCCCCAAACAGGTGAGGGACAAAAATCGCCCATGTCCTGGAGCTCTTGGCAATATCAAAAACTCATGTTGCCGGTGCTTTATTTGGAGATGCATGCAGAATATTAGTGTCCATGATGGGGGTAAGTTTTAGTACAACTCACAGTGCCACAATCGATCACTTATAGTTGCCATGTGATGCTCTTTTGCTATTTTCTGTTAGAGCTCAGTTTTAGTTTCAGTTTTAGCTGATACAAGATTGATCAGTAATTACATCTCTAGATTTTGAGGCTTGGTCAGGAGTAGGTATACCTTAGCTGGAGAATTTTACTTCTTGGTGTATGTGGGTATGAGGGAAGAAACATGCAAACTCGTTGAACTCAGAACCCTCTTGTTTTGAGGGGAGAGCACTAGCCACACAGCCACAGTGCTTCCATGTTTATCAGTCTATAAAGGAGTACTCTATAAAGGTGCTTGGTAATAGATGACTTGTTTCCCACAGTAGTAAGTTGTCAGCACTCCCCCTCTGTACAGGTGCTATGAAAAAACAATGCTTTATGGTTGCAAATGGGTGGAAAGCACACATTTGTAATAAACTGACAATTTAAAAACTTTTTAGAAAGAAAAATGTTATTCTCAGCTCTCAGCCTATTTTGGGATTCTATCGATATTACTTGAAATATTCAGGCATTTATCATTTTTCATTTATGGCATCAAAATGTATTACATTTTTGGTCATAAAAAAGTCGCTTGATCCAAATAACACTGCAGCTGATGTGTCCTAGGGCAAGACACTGGAATGTGGAATAGAGATAGGGATTTGCATATCAGCTATCTGCCTTGAGTCTCAAGGCAAAGGCCTGTACTTTTGTTTTGGCCATTCTGCTGCCTAACGAGTACACACAAAGCTTTATTTGAACACTTAAATGCAAATAGATAACTGCCTAAAACTCAACTACACTGCTCTCTTGAAGGTTTGTGGTTGAAAGGGCTGTAGGTTAGTTTGTCTTATTTTAAATTTACATAAACAAAATTAGAATCTGCACATATTTGTCCAAAAATATTGGCAGCTCTTATCGACCATGTGTGTAGAATGAATGAAATATACAACATAAGGTTATTTTGAGAGTCCTGAAAGAGCTATTTTAGGTTTGCTGTATTAAACTGATTATTGAGCTGTTGACTTCTTGGTGTTGAAGATACATTGTATGCACAACCAACCAATAGTCCCATTGATTTGGTACCATATTATCTCTTCAACTGATATGGCCTTTTCTGCTAGCACCGATAGCCGTATGCATCCGTCGGCAGGTCTAATTCTTTGCACTGAAGTCTACTGAAGCCTGTGCAGTGTTAAGTGGCAATAGATAAAGTGATAAACGCACCATCTGCCTTTTGTTAGCGTTCTGGTTTATTTGGTTCTGCTGTGCGTATCCTTGGAGCTAATCGTATCTTGTGATGTTAACGACGGCTTCATAACAGACCACCAGGTGACTCTGCAAGATCAGACTGAAGCGATTATCTGTAATGGTCCTGAATGGCGTCATATCTTTTCCACTTATCTTCCCTTTAAGGTTCTCAGTAAAACTGTGAATTTGGAGTCTTAGCAGTGACAGACACCGTGATCCTATCTCCCAGCTGATCCCTGTATCTTGGCCTGAGCACAGCTGGATGCACAAAGCTTATCTGGGCCCTATTCAAAACTGCGTTATCAGACCAAAACAAAGTAAGGATTTGGATGCATATTATTTCAAACAAAAGATTAAAACTATATTTCCTTTGATTTTATAAAAGCTTTCATGCCATTGGCATTGTATAGCCTAATAATTATTCAGGTGATAATTGCACCAATAGAAATTTATATTGTACAGCTCAGTAATCTATGTATATATCCAGTCCACCCTTGCACAGACCTAGTGCAATACGTTTTCCATGGCAATACTAAAAGTATAATGGACTTGGATTAATATAATAATGCCTGCCTGGAGTGGCTCCTTTTTTTTCCCAGAATTCCCCCAGACCCAGACCTATACTGCTGCACATTATAATTGCATTATTTCGTACAATTCTATAAATAAATCACCTAACTGACCAGTTGCAAGTGAAAACAAAGATAACACAGTTGGCAGAGATTAAAAATGTTGCGTTATACAACAGAGTGTACATTACATCTGCAGTGGCTCTCACATGTGCTCTGTGCTGCTGTCACTCAAGCCCCTGTTTCCATGGCAGCAGTGTTAATCAGCTGAGTCTCGCTGCGATAAATCTACTGTTCTGCGTCAGTGACCGGGCCTCCCCACCAAGTGTCCCCTCTCCATTCTGTCCTTGTACTGGACATTTTTACAGTTGACTCTAGCGTAGTCCGGCAGCACTTTAGCTCTCTCTCCTGTGTTTCATTCATGTTGATCTGCATTTTGTGGAGTCATGAGTGTTTGAAAATACTATATTACTGTATTATAGGTCCTGTATTACACAATATTGACTTTTATGAGCTTTAAGACATGTTATAATGCTGTTGCCTCCTCAAAAACATACCTGGAGTTGTTTTGTTTTATTCACACATGTTTGAGTAATCTTGTATTGTTAGTCTGCCTACGTCTCCAAAAATCAGAATGCTTTGTTTCAGCTTGTGATGTCATGTAGTAGTAATTTTATAAGTAATAGCTGCCTTTTGTTTAGTAAAGATTGGCAATTGCAGTGAAGGTGTATAGAGTTAAAAAGCACTGTGGAGCACTACATGTATTACCCCATGACATCATAAGGTAGAACAGAGCATTTTCAGTTTGAGAGAAGGCCACAGCCTACATATGTAGAGTTTGTTTAAAAAATGTAAATGAAACAAAAAACAACTCTTGGTATGT